GGGGCAAAGCTAAGAAGCGTCTGGGTGTCGATCGCACCCCGCAAGGGAAGCCCATCTGCTTCCGCTACAACGCCAAGGGTTGCAAGAATGGCAGCAAGTGCCACTTCGAGCACGTCTGCTCGCTATGCTTCGGAAAGCACCCCGCTACGCAATGCCCCACCAAGAAGCAGACGGAGGCCGCTAAGGAGGACAAGCCCTCCAACTGACCCGCTACGGCGGCCGCGCCCTCAGTGCCTGTGACCCCCCCCAGCCTGGGGGATGCTACGCCAGCCCCGGCGGCCGCTACGCTTACACAGCCGCTACGAGTGCTTTACCTGTTCTCTGGTACATCGCGCCGGCTAGATGTGGCGCAGTGCTTGCACCAGCTAGCCGCAGAACTCGGGCTAGATGTGCGAGTCGAGTGTGTCGATCTTCTGCGGCACGCTAAATACGACCTCAGCCAGCCCAAGATTCGGCAAGGCTATCTGGACCGTATAGCTACCAAGGAATTCGATGCGGTCGTGCTCTCTCCACCTTGCGCTAGCTTCTCCAGAGCTCCCTGGGCTAACTTTCAGGGGCCCCGCCCCGTGCGAAGCTATGAATGTCCCCGGGGTCTGGAAACGCTAACACCTGCTGAGAGGGACCGCGCTATACTGGGCAACATCTTTGCGGATTTCAGCTTCGAGGTCGCTAACCTCGTGGCCGACGGTGCAGCTGCTAAAGTGCTCTTCTGCTATGCCCGACTTTGTACACGAAGGCCTGCCGTGCTATGACAAAAAGGGCTGCTACACAGGACCGCTGCCTTCTGCTGTTACTCTGGGCCGCATGTTCAAGCGCCCCGCTAAGGGCCCCTTCAAGACCTCAGGTTCCGAAAAGTGGCCCGCTAGGATGTGCCAGTGGCTGGCTACCCTGATTCTGGACTCCTGCCAGCACCCTGCTACCGCTGCCCAGGGGGCAGGGGGTGGCGCTAGGCCGGAGTGCCCGCTACCCGAGACCTTCCCGACCTGTGAGCCGGAGGGTCCGCGAGTGCTAGGGGGTTCAGGACCACCAAGGACCTGCCAACAGCTAGGTGGCAACAAGAGCTACCATGATGGTGGGGGCCTCTGCTCTCCAGGACGCTGGCCCCACGCTACTCGCAGCTACGCCGAGGGTCCCAATTTGGACTGGCTACGGGAGAAGATGATGGAGGTGATCCTCGCTAAGGTGGGTTCGGAGGCGGCTTGATCTGGAAAGAGTGGTTGGAAGCTAATGACCTGGGAGACCCGGAACTGCTAAAGGTGGCCCCGGGGCAGCCGCTATACCTCCGCCTCATCCGGGCGCTACTGACCGCGGCCGGCGATCCCGACAGGGACTTCCTCCGTCTTCGAGGAACAGCTAAAGTGGCCCTTGGAGAACGCTCCTTGGGAGGCGGCGCTAGCCTGGGTCCCGAACTACTCCTCGGTGGAGGAGTACCGCGAGTTCGCTAGGGAAAAGTTCGAAGAGGACGTGGCGGAGGGCCTCATGGCCAAGATGACGCTAGGCGAGTTCAAAGCCCGCTATGGCGTGCATCGAGCCATCGCCGCGCTAGCCGTCATCGTTGAGGACGAAGCTAGTGGAAAGAAGAGGATGATCCACGACGCTACCCACGGGGTCCGGGTCAACCACCGCATCAAGTGCCGGGACAAGATCCGGGCCCCAGGAGCTAGGGAGAAGAAGCAGCTACTTCGGGAGCACATCGACGCTAACGAGGTGGCCTTCTCCGTGGTGGGCGACATCGCTAAAGCTCACCGACGCTACAAGCATGCCGAAGGAGAGCATGGCTACCTAGGGTGTCAGATCGACACCGAGGAAGCTATACCGGGGGACCCCGACAGCCAGACGGTTTACGTCAATCTGGTGGGGACCTTCGGGCTATCATGTGCGAGCTACTGGTGGACCCGCATAGCGGCGTGTGGGCTTCGACTCACCTACCACCTGCTAGGGCCATCGTTCCCGCTAGACATGCTTCTCTATGCCGACGACCTCGAGTCCTTGGGCCGAGGGGCTAGAGGACGCATGGGGATCCCGCTAAGCTATCTCTTCCTCGCTAGTCTTGGGTACCCCTTCAAATGGGCCAAGACGAGGGGGGGCTTTCGGGTGGAGTGGCTAGGCATGGAAACGGAGTACTCCACCTGGAGGCTAGGCCTGTCTCAGAAGAGAACCGACTGGCTAGTGGAATGGCTACGGAAGCTAGTCCGAGATGGGAAGTGTGAGGCCCGACCCTTCGCACAGAGGATACGCTAGCTAGTGTACGCACTCGTGCCGAGGGACGAGGTACGACAGTGTATGCTAGCGCTAGTATCCCTTTGGGAAACATCGAAGGTGTTTCGCTAGAAAACGTCGAAGGGGTTTTCCTCTGAAGCTAAACAGAACGAAGCTTGTCTGTTTGCTAGAGTGACTGCACATGGCCGGTGAAGCAGTGCTACGCCGTGGCCATTGTGCTGAAAGGCCCCCAGCTATTGGGGGGCAAATTTCGAGTGCCCACCCAACCCACCCTGGAGATTAGCTAGCCAAAGGCTAGAGTTCTTCTCCGGGCTAACGCGGGGCTAACGCGGGACTTCGCCACAACGCTAAAAAGAGAGAAGTTCGTGTTGTCCGTGCTACTTCGTGAAGCCAGTTAGCTTTAGCTAGGCTTGCTACGTACTCCCGGAGGTGTAGTGGGAGGTGGCGGGAGGATACGCTAGCTAGTGTACTTCGACATCATCCATCATCAATTTCGCCAGTGGCTTGTACAGTCCTGCATATCGCTTCAGCTGCTACGACCAGTCTTCCCATTACTCCATCTCTCCATGGTACACTGGTGGCGGGAACTGTTAGATCTCTCCGCCAATCCCTTTGGTTCCGAAATCCATTCTCGCAGTCGATCCCTGATTCTGCGATTCCGAAGCTCCGAAGAGCGACCAAGATCAATGTCTTTCCATGCAGTCACACACTCAAGCAGACATTCCTCTGTGACGTCAGCCGATGTGTCCAATCTTTGAACTAATGCCATTCGGCATCAGAGCATTGGATAATGCATCAAGTTCATTTAGTGCATCATCGGGCTCATGTCTTTTCACAGTGTGAGTTAGTGAGTGAGTTAGGGAGTGAGTGATTGAATGAGTGGGTGAGTGAGTGAATGAGTTGGTGAGTGCGTGAGTGAGTGAATGAGTGAGTGCGTGCGTGCGTGCTTGAGTGAGTGAGTGAGTGAGTGAGGTAGTGAGTGAGTTAGTGAGTGTGTGTGTGTGTGTGTGTAGATGCTGACGTACATGCATTCATGCGTGCGTCCGCACTGGCCGCTTCCCACAAGGGCCCCGCCATCCTCGGCGAACTGGTCATCGACGCAGGTCCAGCTGTCCAGCTGCAGTGAGGATTATGTGACCACGTTACACCGCATCCAAGCTTCGGCCGCTTGCATAAAGATTTCTGCGACGTTTGTTTCAAAGGGGGAGACTCGAGGTCGCGACGTTGGCCCTCCCGAATCCGCTGACACGCCCATTCACCTTCCTCGGCTCTCCATCAGTACTTGATGTGGGCACCAGGTTGCATGCAACTTTGATGGTGACGGTTACATGGCAGGAGGATACGTTGTAAGCATGATGCCAACAACATGTAACAACCAGCCATTGGTACGAAGCAGTGTGGAACGATGTTGCACGTTCACCGGCAGGCCTCTCCGCTGCCCTCGCCGCCACCTCCACCGCCTCCCCCGATGCAGCCCCATGGCAAGCCTTATTCTTCGAGTTCGTGATGTGCAAGCTCGAGGTCTGGCTCCGGAGACAGCTCTAGCTACCTCCACTCCCCGGGTTTTGGGCGGGGCCCCCGGGCGCTTGCCGGTTCGTTGCGAACTGCCCTTCAGCGATTGCTTCGGCCAAGGGCGGCTCGCTCAACGGCGTACACAGCGACGGAGGCGGCTCACTCTGCAGGCGAAGCGGGCTGACAGCCTGTGGCCTGTTGTGGTGAGAGGCGACGCCACGGCAACCCGGAGACGGAACTCCCACCGTGGATGGAGGCAATGCTTTTGGAGGGCTATCCTTGCAGCATCGGGCAACGATCACATCAATCTTGCTTCTAGAAACAGGATACAGCTTGTTGGAGGGAAGTTGAGGCTTCAAATGTCAGTCCAGATTCTCGGATATGGAGTTGCAGATATCCCGAGCAACCAGAAAAGCTCGGGTGTTGATTTGCCTTGTGCAAAATATCTACCCAGGAGAGTACATGCCGGCAGGGCCATACTTGAGTGAAGCTTGTAGAGTGCTTTTGTGCGCCCTTTCCTGCAGGCTGGACGCCTCAACTGTACGGTGCTTCCACACCCACGGTGATGCCGACGGACTCGGTGCCAACGGCTACTCAGACGGCCACCCACACAGCGACTCAGACTTCAGTGGCGACAGCCACGCTGCAGAGCACAGAGGCTGCCGACAACGGGGAGTTATGTGATACATGAGCTTTGCTACGCATTGGTATGCAGCAGCGTTCGATGCGCGCAGGCGACAACCGCCACCTTGCCCGGCACGAGCAGCGTCCCAACGGAGCGTGTGGCCCCTGGCCGACATGCAGGATAGGGCGATAGACCATAGATGCCATAGAGTTTCATGGGCAGTGGGCAGCCGCTTCTGGTCGAGGCAACCTTCCGGAACAAGTACCCGCGGTAGAAGCACAAGACGCAGAGGCCCTGGAGGCTCGCGGCGCTCTTGCTAGGGAGTGTCGCTTTCTAGGATTGCTTCCGGCAGGTGCTGAAGGAGTCTCACAGCTGGAGCCTGAGCCGGGTCGCAAGTGAGGTCTTGGTGCTGGCTAGCCAAGGTGGGCTGATGAGCGATGCCAAGAAGGTGCGGCAAGTGGCATGCCATAGCTTCGTGTGTGGTGCCGGGTGTCCGGGAACCGTGCACGCAACAGTCGCTGGCCCCCAGGAACTGGTGTAACAGGGTGTAACAGGGTGTAGGAAGTTGAAGTGCCTGGCGGAAAGTCTCACACATTGCAAAAAGAGAGAACCCGCCGAGAACCGCCGAGTGCCTTTCAGTGCCATGGCGGTCGTAGATGGCCCTGCCCTTGGGAGCGATGCCCCGGCCGCCGCCCCGGCCGCTCCATGGCCAGAGCCTCTAACTGAAAGACCGCCTAAGGCCTCTAAGGAGGAGAGGAGGAGCCTCGCCTTGCCTTGCGGCCTTGTCACACTCAGAGTGGCTCTGAGGTGGCTTCCCTACTGCGCCATGCTGGTGATGCTCGAGGCCTTCTCCGGCAGCGGTACTTGTAGCCTTTGCAGTGCTCCTGAAGTGCCAGTTTGCCCTCTTGGCCCTCTGGTTCCTGGTCTCTTCGGCTCAGAAGATGTGGAGCAACAGCAGAAGGACGGAGGTCGGCATTGCCTGTGCCCCAGGTTCTGGGTCGCACAGGCTGCTGTGCTTGCCGCAGGTGCAGCAGGAAAGCTTGGACACCGAGCCAGTGCCTGGCAGTGAGTCCGGGCACTTGCTCGTGGCCAACGCGGCACCTTGCGGCCCGCGGGGGAAATGGGCACGTGCGAAGCCCAGAAGTTCAGAGCATGACTGCAGCCGCTAGCACGCAGTAGCTCTAGGACTCTAGGGAGAGGAGGGGCTCAGAACCCCGGCGTCTGGCCCAGCTTCCTACTCCACAGAGCCCACGGAGTTCGACAGCGGCATCTGCCACGGATCCTGGCTGTGCCGGTGCCTTACCCACCCAGTAAGCCCAGGGCTGGTTCTCTGCCTCCCGTCGAGGCATTCACAAGCCGACAGCAGCCAGGATCTCAGTTTTCCAAGATCCGTCGTGTCGGCTGCGAGAACCCAGGATGCCGAGCGAATGAAGGCTGGAGACTATCCGTTTGCTGATCATCTGCATACCAGGAGTGCTTCTCCGAAATCCTCTCAGTTGTGTTTTAATGTTGTCAGGGCTGAAGCTCTAAACTCTAAACATGCTCTAGACATCCGTGTGGAGAAACCCCGACTGAAACCGGCATCTCAGCATCTCAATGTCCTTCAGCCCTTTAGACGACGTCCTCTTGAACTCGCAGGAAGCGACTCTGGGAGTTCCGGTTGCAGCTGAAGTTCCGAGAGTCTGCCAGAACCCAAGACAGGAAAGTTTGGGTCCAGCAGCCTAGCAGCCTAGCAGCCTGGCAGGGCTGCCTGCAGAGCCTGCAGAGCACGCAAGGTTCCGGCTGGGAACGTTTTCTTCGGTTGCGAGCAGGATCGATATTATCATGTCGGCACGGCCAGGGCCTCAAACATGTTGGAGTTCGTCTCCATACTTCTTTGCCCTGCCTTGAAGGGGTTCGAGTTGTCATGTTGTTCTGAGTCGTGCGATGTAGTAGCAATGATACAGAGACATTCGCTGCGCATGCAGAGGACACGTAGACAGGCGAAGGCCCACACAGCCACCCGAACTTTGCAGAACATGCCCAGTAAAGTTCGTGCCCATCGCAGCGGAAATAATGCCACTTATTTCAAGGTTGCCACCAAAGTTTTGTAATCAGAGCCTTCTGAAGTCTTTTTTTCGTGGCTTTTGGTCCGCTTAAGACAGCGATACCACGAATATCGCTGTGCCAAAGCCTGGTAGCTTCCTCTTTCAAGTCGTCCATAAGGACGAGCAACAGCTCACCGGCCTCCTTCTAGGATTTGCCGCAAACCCTTCATGTGGCACTGCGGTTTGGGTTCCCAGACGCTGGCGGCGATATGATGACGATGCTGTGCTCGTCGGCTGTGTCACGCTGGAGCAAACACAGTCGCAATGCCACAACGTATTGCGTGGCACATTTCGTGCTTGGACGGAGGAGGACCTGCTCGTGCTTGTGCGGAGCTTCTCGGGGTAAACGATTCGTGTTGCAAAGATGCTGAAGTCTGACAGGGGACGAGATCCCTGCCAAGGCGAGATAAAAGGCTCCGTCATCCGACCCGATGGGCGTTTTGTTTCGATGCGCGAGGAGTACCCTTACGTGTAGCGGTCCGGGGATGCTGATGCCATCGGAATGCAGCGCGGCAGAACGCTCACTGCAATGCTGCACATGAAGGGCGTGGACCTCCTGCACAAAATGAAACTTCCGTGGATCGGGGTTGCTGGCCAGTGCCCGCTGACCATGGGCTCCGACGGGGCGGGGCGGTCGCACCTCGGCGTGTGACAGGGCTTTTGCAGGGTGATCGCGTGGGCGAGCTGATGCCAGCAGCAGGGTTGCCAAAAAACGCCCAGAACCGGGCGAGGATGCTGCATGAGCATCGAAGGGAGGGGCAAACAATGAAGTGTGGTTTTACCGGGCATAAAAGCATCGTTGAAAGATGTTGAAAGAGCCGAAAAGGCGCTCCTGGCGCCCTGGACTGCCACAATTGATAACGTTTCGTGGGGAGTGGTTTGGAAAGTGTCCTGGCTGGTCGATTTGTGACTTCCCTCGAGCCCCGCATGCTTTGCTTACGGGAGATCGACGTGTATCTGCACAATGCGTTTGGATTTGTTCAAGGTGAGAAATCGAAAGCTGTGTGCGGATCCTGGCTGTTTGGTGCCTTTTAAACCCTGGTTGCTGTTTGGTGTGCAAGATGCTACAGAATGCACTGCGGGAGGGGAGCCTTTGAACTTGTCACGGCAGGCCTGTTTTGATGCACTGATCCGGGCAGTAAAGAGACATCTTGTTTCTTCCAAGTTTGTCGTGCTACTTTGTGTCCAGAACAGCGAAGCTTGCGCCATGCCGGAGCCGTGTGTTCAGACGACGCGTTTCGTTGCTGAGGTTGCACCATGCCAGAGCCAGCCGAGTTAGTTGGTTTGGTTTTGTTTCTGTTTCAATCATTCCGCGACGTGTGCCGGGAAGACATTCAACACCAGCCGGGCCTGAAACATCCGAAGTTTTTGTTCAGTTTTTTTTTGTCGTTCGTGCTCCAGGATGCCGAAGTCCGACGTTTTGCCAAGGGTATCCGATGAAGGTATGCCAAAAATTCCAATGTGTGAAAATCTCCAGTATGATATCTCCCATGTCTGTTACAGTCAGTATCATGCATCATTATACGAGAGCCATGGCACGATGTTGTTCAGCGTTCTCCAACGTGCCGAGCTTCACCATGCTGTACTCGCATGCTTACGCCCCATTGTGCCATACTATGCTATGCCATGCCATGCTACCTTCTTGTACCAACTTCGACACGGTGTGCTGTGCTAAAAGTTGCTGTGCTACGCTATGCTCGCCCATCGTGCGCTGCTCAACTCTTACGTATGTATGTGTTTGTTGTGTGTTTGGGTCGAGCCCAGGGATGTGACACAGTCGAAAGGCATGAGGTGCTTGGAGGCTGGTAACCTTGATCTTGCGAGCACCTAAGATTGAGCGCTACATCTCCTCTTCGGTTATTGCACTTTTGAGGCCGGACAAACGGCTCGAGTTAGCTTTTGTGCGGTCAGCCAAGACGTCAAATGCAGGAAAGCCTCTGGCGATGCCATGTGGCGCTGGCAAGTTTGAGGATACTCCTTCTCAATGTGTTGAGGACAATCAGGTTTTTGCTGCTGATTAATTTGGGACAGATGCAGCGGCTGAGAGCATGAGGTACCAGACACATGGCGACGACCCCAAGCCAGCATCCGAGAGCTACGGCAACACACCCTTAACTTTCCCTCCAGTTTCCGGTGTCCCAAAACCTTTTGGTCCCAAGACTAACTTCGAGGTCTGTGCAGGGCGAAGCTGAGCGGCCGACCATTGCCTTTCCGCTCTGGGCCAGGGCCAAAGTGCAGAAAGCTTTGCGCAGGGGCCTACCGCACGAAGAAGTGCAGCGGAAATACGTAGCCTTTCGCAGTGATCCTGGGATCTGCAGCAAGACTTCGCATCAGGCGGAGCCCCGTACCCAAACTTTAACGCCGACGACTGCTTGACGTGTAGTGGTGTAGTGCATGCAGGGTCGCAGCTGCAGGCTCGATTCGACCGAGCACGCACGCGGGTGGGGCTGAACCAAGTCGCAGGTGGGGGCTGGCGGAAACAGCCGATGACCCTGATTGGTAATTGCTGTGAGCGAAAGGATTAAAGAAGCGCTCAGAAGACAGTAGAAGCTGCTGTGGCACTTGTTTCGACGACTAAATATCATTCTACACTTCGAAGACAAGCGAGCTTGATGCATCTCTTGTAGAAAGCAGACGCCGCAAAGCACTGCTGGCAGGATTGATCTTATGATGAGTCTCATGTTGAGAGAGTGTGTTGCTTGCTCTTTGTCGATCATGTTGGTGATGACGGTGACGAGCAGGACCGCAGCTATATTAATGCAAATCATGACGAGGGCGATGATGGCGACACGACGAAGAAGGGATAAGCCTAACAAGACGAGCAAGCAGACTGAGGAGAAGAACGGGAAAAGGAAGATGAAGGGGCGCTTCACTGTGCGTGTGATGAGCTGCTGCGGCTGATGCTGATGGCGATGATGATGTTGTTGTTGCTGCTGCTGACACCGATGGAGATGACGATGATGCCGGAGTTGACGCTGTTGTTGATGTTGCTGCTGCCGCTGCCGCCCCGTCGGCAGTTGCTGCTTCTGCTGGCGGACATGATGATGATGGCGATGACGATGGTGATGATGTTGATGACTGCTACGACGAGGACGACCAGGACGACAACAACGAGACAACGACGATGAAGATGAACGTCATCGGCACAACGGGGTCGAAGCTATTGCTGATGATGATGGTGGTGTAGATGAGATGAGATGATGGAGAAAGATGTTGATGGTGATGGTGATGATGGTAATGATGCCGATGATGGTACTTTGATTTCGATGTAGGAAACCCGATGACAGTGACCACCTTGACGATGGTCCGATAGTAATTGACTGAGTACGACGGAGGCGATGATGATGTTCTTATGGCGCTGATGAGGGTGATGGCGACCACGATGATGATGACGACGACGCCGATGATGATGATGATGATGGTGGTGGTGGTGGTGGTGGTGACGATGATGATGATATCCAGATGCTGTCAATCATGACGATGGTTGCTGGGTAGTAGTGGCAGTGGTGGTGGCGGTGGTACCTACATTTTTGCAGCCCGATGCATGGCACAGGTACTGTCAGCATCCTCATTATGTTCTGGTGGGAATACCGTGGTTCTGATTCTCAGTGTTACGCCAAAGGTATAGGTAATATTCCCAGGTCATGGACCAACTGATCATCACAGAGGAAGGCGACGAGCCACCCACCCTCAATGCGCGGGCCTTGGGCAGATGACTTCAGACCGTCTGTCCCTCAGCTTCAACAGTTTCGTGGCGCCCATCCCATTCGGCTCAGTTTTTAGACCCCGGCTTCCGGAACGGGCCGCCAGGGCACAAGCTACCGCCCTGCTCGCAAAATGTCTGCCAAGAGCAAGGTCGCCAAGGTCGCTACAGTGGAAGGGAAGGTCCAGAAGATGAAGCTGATGGAACTAGTCCAGCGAACCATAATGTGCAAGTTCTTTCGTGCAGGTGGGCGGGCTGAAACTTTCACATTTCACACATCCCCGGGTTCAACTTTAGCCTGCATCTCTTTGTTTTCGGGATTTTGCACTCTGGTCGGTTTCTGCTTCACAGCACCCTGAGGTCTTTGCAACCGCGGAAACGGCTGTACCTTCGCTCACGACGAAGCGGAGTTGCTGTCGGCTCCCGACTTGTACAAGACGAGTCTTTGCTCAAAGTTCCAGCGGAGTGGCTTTTGCAAGAAGGGCGCAAACTGCAGATATGCGCATGGAACAGAAGAGCTTCGAGTGCTCGGGGCACGTGGTTCGGCCAGCACCTCTACGGCTTCTTTCGGCATCAGCGAGGAAGCCGATTCCGCTTCCGACACAGAGCAGATTTGCCTTCGCGTGAAGAATACCTTCCTAGAGTTCGGCTACAGCGAGAGCAGGCCGAAAAGGAACTGTAAGGCCCTTACCCAGGCCCGTACAGCGCTTCAGGGCCCCCAAGGCAGTTTACTGCCCGAAGGCCGACTTCCGAAGCCGGGCCCCCGGGCAGGTCTTCCCCAGCCACTCTCCGGCGATGCAACTCCGAGCCTTGAGACGCAAGGCCAGGCTTGGGGGCTGCAGCCAGCATTGAAAGCACCCGCATGGCATGAGTTATTTTGCAGTTTCAATGCACTTCTGTCGATTTGTGAGTTTGTGGCTCGCAGAGAGCACCACTTCGTTTCTGAAGGCAGGGACTGTTAAAAGGAAGGCTCCTCGGCTATCCCAGCCCAGCCTGCTCAGCATTCACATGTTCAGGCTCGTTCATCGTCGGCTCGTGAGTAGTCGCAACACATGATTGCACAGGGCACACTTTCTGCAGCCCAAATTGAAACAATCACGGACACTGACACAGAGAGCGGACAGCTCTCCATACAAGCTGTGCGAAAATGAAGCAAACCATACAAGTGGTATCAAGCGACCAAGACGGAGTACCTCGGTACTGTATGTAATGTAGCATCCACCTCTTCGTAGCCGGTGGTATTTCAATGCACCCCTGAATGACAGTATATATATATATATATATGTATAGATATATATGGTCACGCGCTCCGCGGCCCCCCCCCCCCCCTCCCCCCCCAAAGGTCAATGGTCCGGATATAGGGTGGGACCCCCCCTCCCCTGTGGTGTGGGGTGTGGGGTCCCTCTTCCCCCTGTGGGGTGGTTGTGGGGTTTTTGGGGTTGAGGGTTTAGCTTAAGCTTTTGAGTGTTGGGTTTACGGTTACAAGGTATAGCGCTTCGAGTCGACAAGGGCTTAGGGAGGATTTGCGGTGTATGTTCTGCTTTCGGCTTAGAGCCTGCAGTTAGGTGGGGTTTAGGGTTGGGTGTAGGGTTTGAAGTACAAGTTAAGGATACTCAAAACAGGGGCACGCGCTGCGTTATAGGGTTTACGGCTTGCTTGCGAAGGGCTTGCGTGCGAGCCTTGGCCGCCAGCACCATCCCACCATCCAGTGGCAGCTCCAACAGCCCGACCCCTTTCCGCACACGCCAGCCCCCCCCCCCCCCCCCCCCTAGCAGACCATACCATTGGGGGGGGGGGGGGGGGGGGCTGGGAACGCCAGACGCCTGACCATATATATATGTGTATATGTATATATATGTATATATATATATATATATATACATACATGTTACATATACATATACATATACATATACATATACATATACATATACATATATATATATATATATACACACACATATATATAATATACTATACTATACTATACTATAATATAATATAATATAATATAATATAATATAATATAATATACATAGACCCTGGAAAGTGGGTCCCGGTTTCGTCCCCGCCTGAAGCTCAAATTCCGAAGCTTTTGAATACGAAATTGTTCGCAAGGAGCTGAAGCTCAAATTGGGCGCGAAGACGAAATGTGAAGACGAAATTCCTGGGAAGACGAAATTCGGTTTGGGGCACGCTGAAGACGAAATTCATTCGTGAAGGCGAAATTCGTCCTGAAGAAAATTCGGCCCGAAGACAGAATTACGTAGCATTGTAGGCTCCGGAATGCTTGTCTGAAGACGAGAAGTTCGGCCCTGCAGGCGAAATTCGGCCGTGAAGACGAAATTCGGCTCTGCAGACGAAATTCGGTCCTGAAGACGAACTTCGGCCGCGAAGACGAAATTCGGTCCTGAAGACGATATTATTCGGTCCTGAAGACGAAATTCGGCCCTGAAGACGAAATTCGGTCCTGAAGACGAAATTCGGTCCTGAAGACGAAATTCGGCCGCGAAGACGAACTTCGGCCCTACAGACGAAATTCGCCCTTGAAGACGAAATTCGGCCGCGAAGACGAAATTCGGTCCTGAGGACGAAATTCGGCCCTGAAGACGAAATTCGGCCGCGAAGACGAAATTCGGTCCTGAAGACGAAATTCGGCGCTGAAGACGAAATTCGGCCGATTTTACATTTTACAGTTCGCATCATACATCTACTTATACCTGTATGTACACGTATACGTACATTTACCGTAGGCGTCCTCATTAGATAAGCGGCGCCGCCACCAGTCCAAGGCATGATCCCCGGAGAGTTCTGATGTAAAAATCCGGGGCGCCCCAGCAGTGAAAGGCTCCATCCTCGGAGTTCAAGAGTCCTGAGTTAAAAACAGGGGCGCTCGATCAGTGCAAGGCTCCATCCTCGGCGTTCCAGCTTTGCAAGAGTTCTGATTTCGAAATGAGGGAAGCCCGATCAGTCAGAGACTGCACCTTCGGAGTTCAATGCTTGTAAAAATTCTGGTGTAAAAATCAAGGGTGCCCCATCAGTCCAACGCCCCACCTTCGAAGTTCAAGATCTATAAGAGTTCTGATAAAAAAATTTGGCGCGCCCATCAGTCCCAGTTCAAGATCTTCAAAGGTTCTGCTTTAGAAATCAGGGCGGCTCCATCAGTCCAAGGCCTTATTCCCAGAGGTCCAGATCTATGAGAGTTCTGATTTAGTTTCCAGGGGTGCGCCATCAGTGCCAGGCTCTATCCTCGGAGTTCAAGATCTATCAGAGTTCTGATTTAAGCATCAGGGCGCGCCATCGGTCCAAGGATTTATCTTCAGAGTTCAAGATTTTGTCAAACATCAGGGGCGAGCCATCAGTCCAAGGCTCTATCATAGAGTTCGAAACCTATTTACGATGTCTTTTGAATAAATCAGGGGCGCCCCATCAGTCCAAGGCCCCACTCTCGGAGTTCAAGATCCATACGAGTTCTGCTTGAAAAAATCACGGTCGCCCCATAGTCCTAACTCCTATCCTCGGAGTTCAAGGTCCAGGGCCCTATCCACAGAGTGCTGTTGGTAAGATCAGGGGTGCACCATCAGTGCAAGGCTCTATCCTCGGAGTTCAAGATCTATAAGAGTTCTGATTAAAACATCAGGCACACGCCGTCGGTCCAAGGTTTTATCTTCAGAGTTCAAGATCTATAAAAGTCTTGATTTAAAAATCAAAGGCGCTCCATCAATCCAAGGCCTTATCCTCGCAGATCATATATGTAACACAGACCTTTCTGTATTATTTGACGCATTTGTCCGCTGTGTTACCAGATTCAATTTAGATTGACATTCCAAATTTCCAAAAATATTTAGGGAAAATTGGAATTTTTGAAAATTTTGGAAATTTAATTGAATTGTAATTAAGAGATTCCAAAACATTGAAATATTTTAGAAAACAACTACATGTTTGAAAGTTTTGGAAATTTAACGTAAAATTGAATTAAGAGTTTCCAAAATGTTTAAAAATTTTCGAAAAATTGAAAATTTTTAGAATTTTGGAAATTTGATTAAAATTTAATGACGTTTTCAAAATGTTGAAAATTTTGACAAAATTGAAATTTTTGAAAATTTTGGGAAATTTAGTTAAAATCGAAGTAAGATTTTTTCAAAATATTTAAAATTTTTGTTGAAAAAGCTATTTTTTTGCAATTTTGGAAATTTAGTTGAATGTAATTAAGATTTTCCAAAATATTGAAAATTTGGAAAAAACTGAAAGTTTTGAAAATTTTGGAAATTTCATTAAGATTTAATGACATTTTCTAGAATATACAAAAGTAAAAAGAAAAAAGTGAAATTATTGGAAATGTAGGAAATTTAAACAACATTTAATGAGATTTTCCAAATCATCGAAAAAATTTTGAATTTGAAATCTTTGAGAATCTTAAACAACGAAATTTATTTACGATTTCCAAAAAATATGTTTTTTTTGCAATTTTTTTGAAAATTTTGGAATGTTTTTTCACATTTAATTAAGAAATGTATTTTTTTTTAAATGTGAATTTTTGGAAAACTTTGGAAACTTAATGAGAATTTAATTGATAGTTTCCAAAATATTCAAAATTTTGTAAAAAAAATTGATGTTTTTGAAAATCTTGGAAGTTTAAATATGGTTTGATTAAGAGATGTAATTTTTTCCAGGAAAATGTGAAATTTTTGGAATTTTTGGAAACTTCACGAAAAGTTACTTAAGACTTTCCAAATATTGAAAATTTGGAAATTTAATCAAACTTTAAATGAAATTTTAAAAATATGAAAAATGTGTTTGAAACATTTGGAATTTTTCGGAAATCTTGGAGATTCCAAATATTTTCGAAAATCTTAATTAAGTTTCAATTAAACTTCCAAAATTTTCAACAATTTCAAATTTCTCAAAGTTTCTAAGATGTTGGAAACTCTTAATTAAGTTTTAAGTAACTCTCCAAAATTTTCAGAAATTTCCGATCTTTCTCGAAATTTTACTTATTTCGGAACTCTTAACTAAATTTTCAATAAATTTCCAAAATTTTCAAAAATTCCGATTCTTTTCAACCTTTTCGAAAATCTTAGGTTTCTTTTAAATTTCCAAAATTTTAAAAACGTAAATTTCCAACAACAATTTGAATATGTTGGAAATTTTTAATTACATGTTAATTCAGTTTTCCAAATTTTCAAAAATTTCAGTTCTTTTCAACATGTCATTAAATTTTACGTAACTTTCTAAAATTTTTAAAGCAATTCATTTTTTCCGAAAAGCTTTAAATATTTTGGAAATCTAAATTAATTTTTGATTTAATTTCCAAAACTTTCAAAAAATTCAGTTTTTTCACTAAATTTCCGATGTTTTGGAAAATTTCACTACATTTTAAATTTCCAACATTTTCCATAATTTCAATATTGATTTTAAGAAGTTTCAATATTTTGGAAAATCTTAATTAGATTTAACTCAATTTCCCAAATTTTCAAGAAATTCAATTGTTGTTAAAATTTCAATATTTTGGAAAATCTTAATTAAGTTTCAACTAATTTGCCAAAATTTTCAATCATTTTTTTTTTCGAAAATTTTTCAATTTTTTGGAAAATCTTAGATTTGATTAAATTTCCAAAATTTTCAATAATTTATTTTTTCATGTTTTTGCATATTGTGGAAAAGTTTAATCAAATTTTAATGAAGTTTTCAAAATTTTCAACAACTTTCGATACACTCGTTTTGAGGGTTGGATCCTTGGGGGCTGGATCAGTGGGGTTTGAAGGCCAAAACCAACTTCCTCAAGAGTGCAGTTCAATATGTCGAGATTAGGGTTTCAGGCTGTTGTATTATTAGCTACTTTATGTATTTGCTAGCTATTTTAGTACGGGGGGCACGGCCCAGGGCTCTCTCGAAAGCGTTTGCTTGGACCCTGGAGTTGCAATTTTCATCCTGGAGCACACTAGCAAAGAGTTGAGATTTT